TGATATAAGGCGTTATAACCGACCTACTGCAGACGAAGTTGCGGTTTTACTAATTGAAAACGATGCTAACAGTGGTCATGATATTCTTCTTCGCACTACTCAAGGCCAACTGCAAAGAATATCAGAATGTCATGCTGTATACGACCCGCTTCAATACCTACTGCTATTCCCATATAGTCAACTTGGTTGGCATCCCAGTATTTCTTATTCAACAAGTGCTACCTCTAACCACACAGAAAACTTATATAATTCTGTAAGTGATTCTGAAAATGATATTGATCTTGCAGACGGAGACTCAGACAATGAATTAAGACAGACTCAGCACAGAAAACATGTTACAATTCGAGACTATGCCGCTTACCATTTACATACATAGTTTTGTCGATGGCATATTACATTATGCATTACGCCTTTTCCACCAGTATGTCATCGATCAATATGCCAAGATTGAACAAAATTGGCTTCTTTGGCGAAGGATGAACCAACATGCAATTCGTGCTGAACTTTACCAAGGTCTTGCTGATGCAGTTGCAGATGATTTTCAAGATCTTACCAATATAGAGAGACAAATAATTCTACCCTCATCTTTTACTGGCGGTTCTCGGTATATGAGCCAATGTTATCAGGATGCAATGGCGATCGTGAGAGAATTTGAGAAACTAAGCCTATTTATTACGATCACATGCAATCCACATTGGCCGAAATTCTTGCAGAACTCTATAATAACCAGACACCAAATGATCAACCTGACATCATTGCTCGCGTTTTCTATCTCAAGTTAAAAGCCATTTTAAACGACCTCATTAATAATAAGATATTAGGAAAAGTTGTAGCATTCGTGTTAGTTATTGAATTTCAAAAAAGAGGTCTTCCGCATGCACATATATTAATCATACTTGCCGAAGAAGATAAACTACAATCACTCTCCGATTACAATAAAGATTGTGTCTGCGGAAATTCCCGACCCACATTGTTAGCCACAGCTTTATGAAACTGTCACCCGGTGCATGATGCACGGACCTTGTAGTAGTTTTGTACCAAACGCTCCATGCATGCAAAACGAAATTTGTTCAAAAAAATATCCTAAGTGTTTTTTGACGTTACCCAAAATGATAAAAATGGTTACCCATTATATAGACAACGGGATAACGGACGTACTATTCAATCGAAAGGCTGCACATTAGATAATAGGTATTTTAGTAATTTATCTTCTTTTC